ACTCCATTTCGCTACCAAAAATCAAACGTTGTCCAAGTTTAAGGTTTGTTGCAAGTTTGCGTGCATTTGTCGCCTACTATCTAATCTATATTGTGCCCTAATATGAAGGCGTTGTCAAAAAGAGAAAAGTTACGAAGTAAGTTGCAAACTTATGTGCCAACCTATCATTCTGCAAATTAGAAACTCCCTTTCGGAAAAACATTATGAGTTTTTTTTGCACGAAACTAACTTTTCCAGATTGAGCGATCCAACATGTCGAGGTCCAAAATCGTCGCACAGTTGCTCCAACCATGATAACGAGTCGCTTTTTTTCCTGAGAATCTCTTTCAAGAGGAACGCAGAACTGTTTGTCAGCTGAAACTCAAAACAATCAAACAAGATGCACATCAACATTAACTTGTTTTCCAGTCACTCTTTAGATCCGAATCAGCAGTCCCCATGGAAGGTAGTGCTTATCGTTGTTTACATTTTGGGAAAAGGACAAAGGGTGTAAATGCTTGCACTTTGGCGAAATGCCAATCCAAGAAAATTCGTTTATAATATTTCTAAACTCATTAGAACTGGAAGTTCTGTCGTGGTGCAGAACTTGATATAATTTACTCCTTTAATTTCTAAGAGTGGCACTCTGACAATTCAATAAAATATTCAGAAAAAACACAGCCTTAGAATCATATTGTCTTAGTAGTAACATTCAAAAAGCAGCATTTTAAATTGTAGTCATCGACGGTTGCTCAGCTACAGAGATGGACAGGGTTACGAAAGAAAGTCTTACAAATCTAAAAATCTGAACACTCTTGGCGCGTATAGGCATTTTTGCTGGGGAAGAGGAGGGGAGTTGGTGAATTTCTTTGAGTAGTTGCGAGTCAAAAGCCAGATGCAAAATGATCTAGATTTTCGATACAGCTTAGAACTTACTAGTTCGCCAATCTAAGGAAAACCTATAGAATTTCGTATTTTGCTCGAATATTTCTGATTGTATATCAGAGGCCAGCTTCTTTTGAATCAGAAATGACTCACTTCCACTTTACTTGCAACAGCCAAGTAGCCAAAAGCTGAGAGGCAAAATAAGGCAAGCCCAATGGGTCGCATGACACCTTGCAAACA